AGAAACCCGGCGCTCCCGCTGACGGCGCTGGCTCCTCCGTGAGGAGGGGGGGACAGCCCGTTCGATCCTTAGGAACCCTCTCTCATCGAGTTCCACCCTCCTTGGATTCTCCCGGAGTGTTTGATGCCGACTGTTGCGGGACCTCCCCCTGGGTCGGTTCCTTGTCACCTGTGGTTCTCTGTAAGAAAGCTGGCGCCTGTGCTGACGGTGCTCGTTCCTCCTAGAGGAGGCTTGGATGTGCCATTCATGCCTTAGAGCTCGTCCCTCATCGCGTTCCATCCTCCTTAGATTCTCCCTCAGTGTTTGGCGCACAGTGCTGCGGGACCTCTGGCGGAATCGGCTCCTTGTCACCTGTGGTTCCATGAAAGAAACCCGGGGTCCCTGCTGACGGCGCCTGCATCTCCTTGAGGCAGCTCGGATGTGCTGTTTGGTCCTTGGAGCTCGGCCGTTGCCACGAGCAGTGTTCTGAGCCCTGCTCTGCTGCCGTCTCCTCCTACTTGAGCGGTTGTAGCCCTGGGCCTGCTGAACCCTGCCGTGGCCGTCGTGGTGCCGCCTTTGGTACCTGCTTCGGTTCCTCTCTCGAACCCCACCATGCCTACTGCCACGGCGACCGCCCCGGGTACCGCCACGGCGACCGCCCCGGGTACCACCACGGCTTCTGCTAAAAGAGTTGTGGTGCTGGCGTCCTGAGGAACGATACCACTTCCTTTCCTCAGAGCTGAGTCCAGCTCTCCCTCCTTGAGCACGGCTGTCAGAGCTGCCGTACTGCCCAGTGGAATACATCCCGGAGTTAGTGTCTCCCACCGTGTGAAAGTTGTGTGGGAAAGACCACTGGCATATTGGGCACACTACTCTTCTGTGGAACCACTCCACTAGGCAGGAAAAACAGACAGGATGGCTACACCAGCTCGCGGAGGCTCGGTCATTAGTGGCGTCCAGGCAGATTGGGCACCTTAGGCTCTCCGAAGCACCCGGAGGTGTAGCCTGGGACATGTGGTTGGTGCTGGCAGCACAAGAAGAGGTGCTGCCTTCTGCCAAGTCCTCCTCCAAGTTCATCTCGCCCTGCAAACAACAAAGAGATAAGAGGCTGTTGCATCCACCTGTGCAAGGGACACAATCTGCAGCCAGCAGCAAAGCTGCCAAAGTTGAGTGCAAAGTTGCCTGCTCTGCCTCGGAGCTGTGTTTCGACTGCCACAAATGCCAGAGATCATCCTGGGGCAGATGAGTGACACTGGGGTGTCATGGCATGTTCCAGCTCTCAGGGCAGGATGGTGACTGACCTCTCTGACACGTGCAGGCAGGAGTCGGGAAGGTGGAAAAGGGCTTTCTGGCCTCTCAGCAATGGCAGCTGGAGCCTAGGTATATGGCAGGTTGGGACCAGTGGCCTGGGCCCTGCAGTGTACCTGTCCGGCAAATCCTCTCTGTGCCCTCAGAAGGCACCCAGCAGGATGGGTGTCCTTTGTCACCCCACGTGCAGATGTCTGTTTCTGATGGAGGAGGCCAGGCACTGTGGCCCTTCAGGGCTGCCCCACACCTCCAAAAGGTATGTTGTCAAGGGTGTCACAGTGACTCCCTGGTGACATCACAGGACTTCCAGGACCACACTTCAGCCTTGGGGAACAAGACCTTGCCAGAAAGCTCATCTCACGTGACTGCCCCGCTGTCGAGCAGGATCCCTTTGCTTTTTTTTCATATAAATGTGGAGGTTTCACCAATCATACCCAGCCCTGTGTTCTCTTTTAGAAATAAACCATCTCAAGGCATTTGTTGCTTCTTGGCTGACTTTGCAGATCGAGGGAGTTGATCCTCTCCCTCTGCTTAGTGCTGTTGTGGCAACAGTTGGAGTACTGTGCCCAGTGCTGGGCTCCTCAGCATAAATAGAGATGGACATACCGGAGTGCAGCTAGCAAGGGTCCACAAGGATGATGAAGGGACTAGATCATCTGTCCTATGAGGAAGGGACTAAGAATGCTGCTTCCAGGCTGTTGAACCTGCAGAAGACTCCATAGGGGATTTTTTCAATGTAAATCAATACCTGAAGGCAGGGTTGAAAGACGACAGATCCAGGCTCTTTTCAGCTAACCCACAACTTCCCTCTGAACATTTGGAAACCTTTCTTTTACTGTGATGGTGATGAAACACTGGCAGAGGATTTCCGGGGTGCTTGTGGAGACTCCCTCCTTGGAGATGAATCGCAAGATCTGTGTGGCTATGGTCATGGGCTACTTGCCACAATTCCCTGGAGGAAACCTTATGTGCCCACGTTCCTCACTGGCTTTTGATGCAATAATCTGTGCCCTACAATTCTGGGTTTACAGCCTGGCTCTCATCACGATCCCTCCCGATTTGCTTCTGTCACTGTGTTTGAGCTTAAGTGCTGCTGGACTTCACCTGAAATTGACTTTTTGTTGCCTTTCATTTCCTGGAGAAAACCCCACTGATGTTTCTCGCTCCTCTGATAATAAGCTGGGACTAGCTATTCTGGACTTAGAGCTCACCCCCTCATCATGTTCAGTATTGGAGTTAAACCAATTAAAGTGCCACAGGTTGTCTCACTCTTGATAGATCTGCAAACTCTTATCGCGTAAAGTCTCATAAGCCCAGCTGAAGTAGTCTTTCATTAAGTTTAGCAAAGACACCTCTTTTGTTCCAAAACTTTCATGTGCTCTCATTTAAAAATAAAGTGCGAGACTGGGACTGGTTGCAAGGGCTGGTGGACATTTTGAAGGTGAGCAGTTAGTCCTAAGCCTTATTACCCCTCCCTACTGACCATACAGACTTCTAAGCATCTTCAGCACCTTTCCAGAAAAATGAGTTTAATTGGTGTTGAGGCCACTGACATCCTGGCTTCTATCAGCAATAGTGTGGCCAGCATGACCAGGGCAATGATTGTCCCCCTGTTCTTGGCACTAGTGAGGCCGCACCTTGAATCCTGTGTTGAGTTCTGGGCCCCTCATTGCAAGAAAGACACTGAGATGCTGGAGCACGTTCAGAGAAGGGCAGCAAAGCTAGTGGAGGGTCTAGAGCACAAGTCCTATGAGGAGTGGCTGAGGGAGCTGGAGTTATTTAGCCTGGAGAAGAGGTAGCTCAGGGGAGACCTCATCACTCTCTACAGCTACCTGAAAGGAGGTTGTAGCCAAGTGGGGGTTGGTTTTTTCTTGCAGGCAACTAGTGACAGGACGAGAGGACGTAGCCTCAAGCAGTGTCAAGGGAGGTTTAGATTGTATAATCAGGAAGAATTTCTTCACAGAAAGGTTTATTAGTTTTTGGAATGGACCATCCAGGAAAGCGGTAAAATCTGTGTCCCTGGAGATGTTTAAAGGACGTGTGGATGTGGCACTTAGGGATATGGTTTAGTGGTGGACTTGGCAGTGCTTAATTAATAGCTGGACTTGATCACCTTAAAGTTATTTTTCAACTCAGATGATTCTGTGGTTCTAGTGTAATATATGTGTACATGTAGATCAACTTTCCCCACCTGTCTTTTAGAATTATCTCAACAGTGTTCACAATACATCTGGGAAATTCCTTAATTTCATTCCAGTACTTACTGTGCTTGTGACACTTTTCCCTCTTTGTTTGCTTTGTCTCTCTCCTCTGCACCTCCATAGCACAACCCTTTGTATAATTGCATTGGATCTATTTTCAAAGAACTTTCTATCTATTAAACCTGCCCAAACTAAGTATTTTACTGCAAACAATCAGTTCTTAAGCTTGTGCTTAATTGATGGTTGCTGCTTTCCAGGTTAATCTTTCCCACTGAATACAATATACTGCTATTTTCCAGGTATATTCAAGTATTTTATAATAACGAAATATCCTTCTGATGATTTTAGTGATAGTAAATAACTTTTTAATCCTAAATTAGGGAAGGTGTATCCCATCTGAGTTCTTTTAGGTGTGTTCTCTGAGAGGTTTTAAAAGAACTTATGACTGAAACATTAGAGAATTGTCTGCTGGTGCAGGCTTTAAATAAATTTTTTGGTCTTATATAGGCAGCATAAATATTTATTAACAAATCATGACATGGGCTGTTCTTTTCAATACATTTTTTCTTATGCTTATTGTAAATCAAAGAAACTTGTATTGGTTTGTTACAGATTGCTGTTGCTGTGTTACTCTTTTCCATTCTTGGTTTCTGGTCCTTGGAACAGCATGTTTTTAAGTCCCACAGCTGTCCCTTTTTAGCTATAAATCAGTTATAATTAACTCATTATGAGCATTGCCATTTTCTGTGCTGTCAACAATGTCACTGCTGCAAATGCAGCTTTTTCAAAAGTATCTGTGCTCTCAGGGAGCTCTCAGGCACCTATTAGACGTTCTTTGCAGTGTGATGATTTCAATTATTTGTTGTTATCTGTTCATTATAAGGCTTTAGGGAATAAAGAATTCAAAACTATTCAACCTGAATATATTTTTGAGTTTTTTTTGTAAATTCTATGGGTGTTCTACATACTAGCAATATTATATATATATCTATAACAATTATTTACTGTATTTCTTAATTGGGAAATTTTTTGCAAGAGTTAACTTAATTTCTTATCTTATTTTGTACAACCTTCAGTTAATTCAGAAGAATTTGAATGGAAACTCAGTAACAAAAAGTAGTTTTCTACTACTTGTACTGAAATTGCAGTTGGAATCCAGTTCAATTCTGGCAGGCCACATCTACAAAAAGCATCAAGCTGAGATGATGTGATCCCCTTTAAAAGGCTGATAAGATGGAATTGTAAGCCTCTTCTATTCCTGCTCCCACTGAGATCATTTGGCTTGCCTTTCAGCTGGGGAAGAATTAGTTGAGAAGTACCACCTGTGGACTGTCACCAGCGCTGAGAGGAAAGGGTGACAGTCTAGTTTTTTCAAACGCAACAGTACATGCCACATGAGTGCAGACAGCACAGGTGTTCAATACACAGCCTGCATTACAATGTGTAAGTTTTAAGTTCCTAAGGATGATAAATATCATACCACTGATTGCTCTGTTTTTTAATATTTTTCAGAAATGGAAAAATTTCAGGGTTCTGAAGGCAAGAAGGAAGATGAAGAAAAGAAATATCTTGATGTTATCAGCAACAAAAACATAAAGCTGTCAGAGAGAGTTCTGATCCCTGTCAAACAATATCCAAAGGTACTGTAAAATATAGTCTAACACTTGTAGTATACAGGCTTTGTAGTATTAAAAAGAAAAGAAATCAAGCTTCTACTTGAATTTACCTATTATTAGCTATTACATATTTTAACTTACGTCTCAGGGCCTTTCAGAAAAGCTGTTGAAGTGAATGAGATTTTTTTTAACTTCAGGTAGGTTTTGTAGATTATACTTAGGCAGATCATTGATCTTTTTCTCAGAGTTGCTTTTTCACATGAACCATTTTTTTATAAAATAAAATACGAGTTAACAAAGAAAAAAATGTTTCAATAACTCTGAAAAGCTTCATCATAGAAGAGCTGGGTGATTTTCTCTGGTGTAAGAAGTTTTGGAAGATCAGGTATCAGGATTACTGATTATTGCAGGCTGTGACTATGACAATGTTCACCTTTATAATAAAAATCAAATGTCCTAGCACCTCAGACTTTCTTCCCTGTTCTCGCTACTGCACAGTCTGATTTTAAAACAGGATTTTTTTTCTTGACAAAGAGCCCCAAATTCAGCTGCTTGTCAGAAGTTTTAGTTTTTATTTTGCAGAAGAGAATGTTGATTTTTTGCAGCTTGGGTGTTTATTTGGTCTTCTTGTACAGTGTTTGATTTTACATAAAGAGTTGTTCTAATAGTACTTATACTGAAATGGTAAACATCTCCATTTATCTCCACAGTATTTTTTCCTTGCTGATTTATAATCACATGGTATTTAGTTCACCATTAGCCTTGATTACACTCTCAGCTTTTTACTTTATACTTTCATCAGAACAATAAATTACAACTGGTAAAAAGCCAATCAAGCAAAATGAAAGGTGTAAAAAAATTGAGATTCAATGATTCCAGTTGACATTTACCTCCTGACTAGTGAATATAAAACTGAGATAATGTAATAATCCAGATGGTAAACACCTTAGAACACATACAGTGCTATAAGGAATTACTTTCTTGCTGCATAACCTAAGTTGCTTTAACTAGATTTGTGGTATTTTGTGTAAATGTTGTAGTTGACCTGAAATTCTTAGTAAAAATGTAGGCATTCTGTAGCTTCATAATGGCAATGTGATAATTATTCAGAGTACTGTTTGATGAAGATATTAGAATGAAAGACAAACTATTTAAAAGACAAAATGCAGTAATCTATCCAGTATAGCATCTGAACATGATTGAATTAAGCTTCATTTACTTTAATGAACCTGCCACATTAATGAATAGTAAAAAATATAAAGCATTTTTACAGATTTAGACCAGTGAAGCAAAAAAATCAGTGTGATGGAGATGAAATACTTATTCAAGAATGAAAATAAACTGGAAAGTTTCTGTAGTTGGTTTGCTAGCAATATACTGTGCTTGGCGTGGAATTATTCTCAGAACTGCAGGTTTCCTGCTACCATCTCTGGTAACCATCCTTCAAGGATTCCATTTGCTATTTGTATCAAACTGCAGATTGCTGTGATCCAGTGTCTTATCTTTTCTTGAAAATTGTATACATTAAGGTAGTCAAAACCAGTACCCATTGGGTGCTTCAGATTGCTTTATAAATAACCAAAAAAACTAGAAACTCAGTTAAAAGAGGATTATATATATTTAGTAGAATATAGTAATAAGAGCAGTTGATCAGACTTATATGTATGAATAAGTAAGATTATTATCATGTGATTTCACCTGAGAGGCATTTATCACAGAATCATAGAATATGCTGAGTTGGAAGGGATCCACAAAGATCATCGAGTCCAACCCTTAGCTCTGCACAGGCCCAGCCCCAGGAATCACATCCAGGGTTGCCTCATCCTAGGTACAGAATCTGGCACTTTCCCTTGTTGAACTTCATGTGGTTGGTGATTGCCCAGTCCCCTGATTTTTCGAGGTCTCTCTGCAGGGCCTCCCTGCCATTGAGGGAGTCAACAGTTCCTCCCAGTTTTGTGTCATCAGCAAACTTAGTATCCCTTCCAGTCCTGCATCAAAGTAATTTATGAAAATGTTGAAGGGCACTGGGCCTAAGATGAAGCCCTGTGGAACCCCACAAATGACATGTTGCCAGTCTGATGTTACTTTATTACCCTCTGTGCTCATGAGCCAATTGCTCACCCACTGCATGATGTTTATCCAGCTGTGTGCTGGACATTTTGTCCAGAAGGACCCTGTGAGAGACAGTATCGAAAGCTTCACTGAAATCCAAAAAGATTACATCAGCTGGCTTCCCTTGATGAACTAGGTGGGTTACCTTGTCATAGAAGGAAATCAGGTTTAATAAGCAGGACTTTCTTCTCATGAAGCTGTGCTGGCTGTGACCGATGACGGTGTTGTCTTTCAGGTGTTTTTCAATACTTCCCAGAATAATCTTCTCCATAACTTTACCAGGCACTGAAGTGAGACTGACCGGCCTCTAGTTTCCGGGCTCCTCCTTCCTGTCCCTAAACTGGAACAATGTTCGCCATCTTCCAGTTAGCTGGGACCTCTCTGGATTCCCAAGACCATTCAAAAATCACTGAGAGATGTTTTTTTGGTTTATATTTGAAAGAACATTGCTAGTGTGTACAACAGGAAGAGAATATGAAAGACTGTGATTAGCACCAGCTGTCTTAACGTTACCAGCTCTGTTAATGACACAGGCCTTTCCCCTCTTCTGTAAAACCAGGATCTAAAATAGAGACAGAGGTGTTAGTTGATACTTTAGCAATGATTTCTATGAGATGAATTAATTTAAATACCAGCAGCCCAGGTAAAAGCAGCATCTCATTTACAAACATTCCTCTATCCAGCAGATATTTTTAGTACATTCAGATTTTCTCTTGAAACAGGCATTCAGTGTCTCGTATTTGTTGATCCTTCTTTCTGTCCCATAACACCATTTTTTTTCTTTCACAATATGTGAGTTCCAATTAAGACTTGCATGAAAACAACTTGGGGTTTGTTCAAAAAGTTTTTAGCATTTATCAGTGTAATGTTGTATTTCAAATTCATCAAATATGAGAAAAGAGTGGGTTATTAAAAAAAAAACAGAAGTCTGAAATTATCTTGTTACTGAAAAACAAAAGCCACAATTTAGAGGTTTGCTGGGAAATTTTGTCAATTGCATGGTAATACAGATTTTTGCCATTTACTAACCAATTGTTTCACTTCCATTGTATTACGTAATCATCATCTTTCTTTGTGATAACTTGTTCAAGAAGCATGTAAACTGGGCTTTGCAAATTCGTTCCTTTGTACAGTTTAAGAACTTGAAACCTTGTTTAAAGACTTGGTTTGATGTAGCACATAATAGAGAAATTTTTTATTTGCAAGTTTGTCCAGTGCACATTATAAGTTAAGATGTTGTTGGCCTTGGTGAAATTCTGTTGCCTTTATGCTTGGCTTCAGCTTAGCTGGATTTCAGCCATTAAGAAATGGGTGCAAATATATGAAATAGCTGACAAATCAGAGAAGTAAACAGTACGTGCATAAAAATCTTAAATATTGCAGTGCATCTGTTGTGGTTTGACCTCAGACAGCAACCAGTTCCCATGCAGACACTCACTTACTCCCACCAGTGGCATGGGAGAGAGACAGAATAGTAAAAGTGAGAAAACAAGAGTTGAGACAAGACAGTTTAATAGCTAAAGCAAAACTTGGATATGGAAGTGAAGCAAAACCAGGAATGAATTCACTGCTTCCCATGTGCAGGCAGGTGTTCAGCCATCTCCAGGACAGCAGGGCTCCATCACGTGTAACAGTGACTTAGGAGGACAAATACCATCACTCCAAACGTCTTCCCCTTCCTCCTTTTTTCCCCCACCTTTATATGCTGAGCATGACACCATATCGTTTGTGATATCCCTTTGGTCAGTTGGGGTCAGCTGTCCCAGCTATGTCCCCTCCCAACTCCTTGTGCATCCCCAGCCTTCTCACTGGTTGGGTGGAGTGAGGAGCAAAAAAGCCTTGAACGCTCTGCAAGTGCTGCTGAGCAATAACAAAAACATCTTTGTATTATCAACATTGTTTTCAGCAGAAATCTAAACCACAATCCCAGCCTTTAAAGAAAATTAATTCTACCCCAACCAAAATGAGCATGGTATCTTTTACTTTTATTGTAAAGATTCAGTGCTGAATATTATTTGTTTATATTGTTTTATGCTTCATAAACTCATGACTTCAAGCAAATAACTTACACAAACTTAGCAGTGCTAAAGATTTCATTGTGAAGGGTGAGGTTTTCTGTTGATATTCTGTCTTTACATCTGATTCAGACAACTAATATGGTGATTTTTATTTAGCATTCTCTTTCTTTTATGTGTTGTTTCTCTCAAACCTGATGCTTTCAAAGCAATTGTTGTAATATTAATCATCTGCAAGTGATTTGTGTGTTTAGTTCACTTTTAAGTAAAATAGGAAAAATAAGATATAGTATTATGTCCATAGGATGGATTGACAAGAAAATACAAGATTTCTAAGGAAAATAGGACCTGGGCTATTAGTCAGCTGAATGAGTAGCCAGGACTTTTATCTGTGATTTATATTGCTCTAATGAAATGAGAACCTTGTTGTTACATAAGGCAAAAGGAAAATTTCATCTGTCACTCCTTCTGGAGATGTTTTGGGAGATTGGAAAAAAACCTCCAGTATTTTTAGTAAAAGGAAACAGAGCTAAGTATCTAAATAAATGGGGATTTTTACTTGCCCTGCCAGTATTTTTTTTCTCCCATATAAGACAAGAAAAGCCTTTGTACTTGGAAAGGTACTAGAATTTAGACTGACGCTAACCTAAATCTAAAGAAATACTGTTTCTGTATTTCAGCTGAGTTCTTTAAAAGAGAAGCCTGAACAATGGAAGGCAGGAAATTATTAATTTACATGATGTGGACTGCACTGAAATTGATGCAGAAATTGATCCAAAATAGATATAAATCTTCTCCCGTGCATTTAAAGACAACACACATTTGGAAAATTCAAATACTTTAGGCGTACTTTCAGTAAAGTACATGAAAAACATACCACACACACATTTTTCTTTT